AGTGACTGGAGCTCTGCTGGTGAAACAGGAACTTGTATTTCTGCCCCTGACATGCACCTTGGAGGTGTCAGCTCATTGTCCCTGTGTTCACATAAATATTTTCTTAAGAATTGTTTTTGATCTTGTGATCCTCTAACTAAATGATTAACCATGCAAAGTTGGCCATTTGGGGTAATATTGAAGCTTTTCCCTTGAGGGCTATTGACAGGTGGGAGTGTGCCACCTCCATGGGCCTCTGGTTTTCTTGTCATACTTGAAACTCAATGACAGTTTAAACTTGGGGTAATCACTTAAATAATCTATTGAGTTACCAAGTTAGTTATTCCCACTTTGCATGAAGTAACCTTGAAAATGATTTTCCTAAAGCAAAGTACATCCAAACTCAGTACCTTCTTAAGAAACTTTGCTGAATGAATAAATTCACAAAAATATAACATATCTTTAATTCTTACTCAGAGGCAATTTAAGCCTCTTGTGTAAGAGTAGGCCCCAACTTAAGATAACATAGGATAGTAAGCCTGCTAGAGAAATTTCTGTATGGAAACATGGTCGGCTATGAAGCTGGAAGTGAGAGGACATTATATCTGACCCAAAGAGGCTTCAGGGCTGCTGAGCATGGGGCCTGAAGTCAAAGTCCCTCGTTTCATTAACAGGTAGTGCAGGAGTGCATGACACCTGTCAGAGTACTGAGACCCAGATGAAACTAGGTGCTTTGCACAGGGGCCTTAGCTAATCAAAATAGTTCTTTCCTTTTCTGAGTTTCAGATAACTAGTTTCCTAACCCAGTGTCTGGATAGCAGTGCCAAACGGGAGTACCTTCACTGAACTTCCTCATGAGGTTATTTCTATCCTATTGGAATGTTTCATTTCAGGAGGGTGAGGAAGGGAACTCTTGAATTTGTGTACTTAGTTTAATGTTGTGCAGATTTGACCATCCATTTAATGGAGGATCTGTTTTCCAGATGACTAACATGTGGAAATGAGAAGTTTTTTGAGTGTGTTTTTTTCCCCTTAAAGAGTGGTTCTTCATTTTGTCTCTACATTCGGGGTAAAAGATCCTCTAGGGAGCCTTTTCAAAGTATTTGAAGTTTGTATCTGATTTTGGAGGTGAGTTGGAGGCCTGTCTGTATATGACAGACACATGTTTCCAACAACTACACATTCGAAAGGACTGAGAACCATCCTTCTGTGTGTCCATCATTCAACACTGATCTTACATTTGTGTTCATATCAGTATCTTTACACTTTGCTCCCAGATATATCTTCCTAGTTTCCCTTAGTAGGTTATACAGAATTTGCAGTGTATTCAGTGGCAGACGACCATATGTAGAGTCATTTAACCCATCCTCCACTGCAACACAGCCTGCTCTTGTTTTCTGTTTTTGTTTAGATTCCATCTTTTCGAAGATTTCATTCCTCGGCACTATCTCAGTATCTCAGATGCTTTTGGGACTTGGTCCTATTCCCCTCCTGTTTGGTCACCCCTCTGGGTTGTGTTGTATCTCACAGCTGCTGTGTGGAATTGACCTTTACAGTTTATAAAGCTCTTTTCCGTATGTTGACAATCCCTGGTGTGATACTGTGAGTTAGGCAAGGTGGGTATATGTGTCGTCCTCGTGTCACAGTGGTGAGGCAGCATGGTTTTTGAATTTGTTCACCCATGAATTTGTCTAATTTCTTGGTAAAAAAAAAAATGGTTATGTATCAGCTGTTTCATAGGGTCAGCTTAATGTAAAGTGGGAGTTAGGCAGGACCAGAACTCAAGATCTTCAGCCCCCAAGTCCCAGGGACTGTTCTTCATACCCAATTATCCCACTTTGAATCAGTTTCTTCTAGGGAAATATCTCCAGAATTGAGATGGCACCCACCGGACTTCCTAATTGTAGGCACTGCCAGGAAAACAAGCAAAGGAACTGGTGTAAATATCTGGTTTTAGTGATTGGTGGAGATTTGGTGATTTGGTGGAGATTGTTTCGTGCTAAAAGTAAAGCCACTAGATTAAATGTTTTTTATGGATTATTCTTAATTATTTGATAGTTACTTTACATTATTCAAAAATCAAATTAAAATTTAACAGAAGTTTAGATTGAGAAGTCTTGCCATACTTGCACCTTGCTCACCCCACTATCCCCCAATACATACCATCTATAGGGTGATCATTTGTATTAGTTTCTTGTGCATCCTTGATAGTGTGTTTTATATAGATACAGGTAAATATGAATATGTGCTATTATTTTTCCCCATCTTTAAAACAAAAGGTAGTAGCCATATATACACTATTCTATACCTTGTTTTTATCACTTACTAATATATTCCTGAGAGCTTTCCACTTTAGTATATGGGGAAATAACTTTACAGTTGCAAGGATTCTAAGTACATGTTATAGTTTATCTACTTTTCTATAGTTGGAAATTGGAGCTATTTCTAGTATGTTTTGCATTTTACACCTTGTTGCAATTAATAGCCTTTTATGTATATCATTTTGTACATATGCACCTATATCTGTCATTTATTCCCCGAAGTGGAATTGATGGGTCAGCAGGAAAAATCATGGATAATTTTGATAGGTATTGCCTAATTGTTCTGCAAAGGGCTTGAATTGTTTGTACTCCCACCACTAGTGTATGAGAATACCTATTTCTCCATATCCTCATGAAACAGAGTGTGTGAGATGAGATAAGACATAAGAGGTGAACAGTCTTTGACCTCATCTGTAGTTTGCAGTGGGAACACTCCACAGTTCAAGAGCTGGTGCAGGTATCAGATTAGTTCCAGTGGAAACAGTGCCTCACCATGACCATGGGCTTGCACCAGCTCCAGTGACATACATGGAATGGACTCCTGTTGCTACTTGCAGAATTTCCTATAGCAGAAAGCTGAACATGCATTCATTATTCACCTAACTAGCAATGCTGGATCTGAAGAACACAACAGTGTTTTTTAGAACCAAAAGATAAATAAACAAATTGTTTCACCACAACACACTGTCTATCAGGCTTTCAATGCTCTTTTCTCAGCTATTAACGTAATTTCAGAAACTGAGTTCAAGAGATGTATCCCAAATCACAGGGTTGTCTTGCTAAGCTTGGAACTTTCATACTCAAAGGATGCTTTTTGAGGAATGATTTTGCATTTCCCCCAACATTTGTAATTAAATAATTGGTACTTGATAAGATAAATTTAAACTTCCAAAGTACAATATAAACATTGAACTATGATGCAATATTGCTAGACTTCTTCCTTAAGGTTGCCAAGTAGTTTCCTGCATTAGGCAAATAGGGAATCATATAAAAACACCATGATTTACGGCCTAGATAATGTCTTCACATTTTGAGAAGCACATATTCCAGGTCATCCTCACATATTACCATTCTCATTAAAAAGGTTGATTCTCAGTCTTATTTTTCTCTAAGGACAGGAAAAAAAAATCCCCTTCATTTCCACTGCATAGAAAAGTGTGGTAAATGGAGCTGGGCACAGTGGTCATTCAATTTAAATGGACATTTTTTTTAATAGAATTTTGACAGGGTCACTTTACAGGGGAAAGCCACTCCTCTTCCCCTTTATAGAACAGTCGCACCTGAACAGTTGCATTGATGACTGTATCCGGTCTACACAAGAGGCCATACCTGGGCATAAGAATGGACTGACAAAACCTAGCCAACACACCATTGACAAATACACATTTCTTTTGTTAATAATACCTGTGAAGCCTTTCACAACAGACATTTCCAGTTTTGTTTTCAGGCTCCTTGCAGCTGCTCCTCTAAAAGTCTCCTCTCTTCCCAGAGCTGACAATGACCAGAAGCAAGGTGTTCTGTCTTTTGTGCCATCATTTGGGATGTCAGCTCAGGTATCAGTTTTGTATCAACTCAGTATGGCTTGTGGGTCTGTTTGCCTTTGTTATTCATGCCAAGAGCCTCTGGGCATCAGTTCCGTGTGAGAGAACCCATTCCATGACCCTCCTTCTTTTGGCTGTTTTTACTCGATGGCTCTTGTTGGCATAGTCAGTGAATGTCTGATGCTCTATCCATGCCAGACCACCTGCTTTGCTGTCTCTGTGGTCTGAACTAGTTGTCTGAACTACTCTTTGATAATCTGAGATTACCTTGCTCTACCTTTCTTTTCAAGTCACATCTCAGCCCCTCAGCCACATTCCCGAAGAACATGACAAACGGATGGGTCACAAGTCACGTAGCATAGTGTGTCAGACCACCAGGTTTTGAAGGGATTCTGTTTGGGTGCCAAAAAGAAAGATTTTATGTCACCATGATTTTTTTTAATGGCCTGTTGACACTTAGGCCTTAATTGAAAGCATTCTTACTCAAGTAGAGTTGACAGAGGAGTATTTGGTAGTTGTGGTTGCTGGTCTGAAAAGCATGTGGCTCTGTTTCAATACTCAAAGAGATCTTCTCAGGGGAAAAAGTTCTGACATCTCAAACAAATGACCTTCATGCATAGTTTTGACACGATGCCCTATTAAGTATGTGTGTATGGTCGGTACCTTGTGGTAATAATTCAATACGGGGAACAGAGTAGCAACAAAGAAACATTAGGGTTATATTTAACCTCTGTGGAATTGGTGTGTAAACAAACTGCTTATCAGAAATGATCATATGGGGCTTTGTTTAAATAAATAAGAAACTGACACACAGGGTCTGTGGGATATCTCTGCCAAGCAGACCACCCTCACATTATAAGATACCACATCCATGTCTGACCCCATATGGAAAGAGGCATAGCAAGCCAGCACTGGTTCATATTCCGTCCACCACATAGTGGGTTTGTGATCTTAGGGAATCCACCACAATGCTCTGAAACTCTCAGTTTCCTCAGCTATAAATAGTGAATAATCAAATGATCTACCTCACCATTAATAAATGTTAGCTATTTTTAAATCAAGTTTAATACAAAGAGAAACATTTTATTTTTCCAGCTGCCCAGAGCATTTTCCAAAATCCTATCACCAACAAATACTATATTGTATTTATTATAGCAACTTTGTATAAATGGAGTCCCTGTCCTATGCTTAGATGAAATATGTTGGCATTTGAGTTTGCATGTCTTCTATAGGAATAAGTGTTTAGTGAAAATGGGTGGAGACAAACAGATGTTCTCACAGTCCTGTTATTCACAGTACCGCCAAATCGAATGTTTCCATATAGGTGCATTCTAATGGCTTAAATGATGCGGATATTTTCTGGCCAGCCATATGGATCTTTTGTCATCTAAGATGTTAATATTTTCCTTATATTTTATAGTAGTTCTGGAGGACCGCCAGTTTCTTGAATAGGGTCCACATGGCTCATTATGCACAGGGCCTGGAAACTGCCTTACGCATGCTGTTGAGATGAACAGTGACACTTCAGAAGAGCTGGGAGCTGGGGTAGAGCAGTGGCTAGGAGAACATATTCAATTATTTTTCCACTTGCATTAAGCTACAAGTAATGAGCACTTTCCTGTGCTTTACAGTAAGTAATTAAAAGAAATTATAAAGTTGGATGCAAAAATAACCCGAAGGACAACTGGATGTGTGGAGCCACCAGTTTTCTCCATGAGCACACAAGGTTAATCCTTGTTACTGCTCAGAATGCTGAGTTTCTACAGGAAGGGTTGCAGGTCCACACATGTTTTGGCGTCTACCCACACACTTCTGTATGGCATGACTGTGCATCCCAGAAGAAGGGCTGTGCTGTGTGCCTCCGCGTTTCAGTGGAATTTAACAAACCGATCCCTGAAAATGGTTTCATAAAGGTGAGTAACAGCTAATAGCCTTCTCTTGCTAATTTTATCTTTCCCCCAAGATTTCTTGATAATAATTTGAAAAGGAGTGTTATTCCTTGGTCTCTAGAGGCAACTTACCTTTCCAGTTTCTTCCCTCACCTGTTTTCAACTCTCTTGCTTTTTTAAATTTAATGTTCTATGTATTTCAGAAGATAGGATCTAACCTAGTGAGGTCCCTTCATCAGGTGATAATTATCTCATTTTCATTTTGGCCCTCTGAATTAATGGCATTGAAGCCTGGCAGTTTGATCCTAAGATGGGTTTAATTATGTACAGATACTCTTTCTATAATGGAAATTGCTCAGATAACTAATTAACCACAAGAATACACTGACTATGGAAAATTTCAGGAGCACCGTCTGTGGAAAAACTGGGAAGGGCATGCTGTCACCACAGCTCTGGGGTCTATTAAAAGTGTGGTTATGCAGCACTGGTGTCTAGTGGGGCGTTGGCTCTCAACTGTCAGAATTCCTATAGCATTTCATGGCAGAGAGTCAAGATGTCCAGCAATACTCTGAAAGCAACCTGTTGATTAAAGTTGTTAATTCTGAAGAAAGTGATTGAAATAAGACAAATGGGTCTTAACTTTCTTTCTCTTTCTCTCTTTTGTAAAAAAGTGTGATCATCCTGGCATGTGCCCAATCCTAACATAATGCCAACATCTTTTCTTAAAGGGGGATTCTGTTTATCCTTGGGTCTGACAGTTATTGCCTGTTCTCCCCTTAGGGACAATGAATGCAGTTGCATCACCCTTGCTTGCTTTTCTTTTTTTTTTCTTTTCTATTTTTTTTTGGTACAGAACATGCTTATTTTTGGATGTAGGGACTTGAAAGACAAAGCCCCACCTGGCTTTCACAACATCTCCTGTTAGTAGGTGTGCCTTGTATGTAATTTGAAGGAGGCAGTCCCTTAGCTGTGTTTACACTATACTTTTCATTGTGGGGCTGAAGGTGCAATCAACTATACTTGAGATGCTACCTGGGAAAACAGGGTTCTGTGTCATCTCAGCCCCACCCATTTGCAAATGATTTAACAGCAGCACTATTCGGGTTCCTAGTGCAAGTCGTTTGCCTTTGGGCCCGTGAACTTGGTGACTTCGTGTATGGAAACAAACAATCTTTGCAGTCTTTTGTAAAAAGCCTAAACAGTGGACCAGTCTCCAGTTCTACTTGGCAAAGCTGCCCCCATCAAATCCCTCATAATGTTCAACTTAAAAATTTTTACTTTTCTCTGGAAATCTAACTTTTTTCCTTTTAAAAAAAACCATTTTAAGTACTTCAGTCTTGAATGAAATGATCCCAAATATTGGACACCAGCTAAAAAATTGAATTACCTTCTGGGAACCTTATTGAAGAAGAGAGATATTGTTTGGAGAGGGGGTTTCGATGCTTGATACTTATATTTACTGTTTTAAGATTTCATTGTTGTTGCTGCTGCTGCTTTATTCCGTAAGTTTTGTTTCTTTAAATTTCATGGTATTTGGTAGGAGAGATCTGGATCTGTTGGTTTCAGGACGAGTCTAGAAATAAGAAATCTGCCTTGAGTGGGTGAGTTGGTTCGCTCTGTTGCTATTTCACCATTTAGGACCAAAAGAACTCCCAAGGACAAGAGACATCTGGCTAAAAGTAATACCAGTGTGACTGGACATCTACTACCTGCCATAATTGGTCATATCATTTCCAGTATGATGCTGATTGAGTGAATGATATTAGGCTATGTTCAGGGATCACAGAGGCTAATTGTGCTTATATTGCCTTATAGCATTGTGGTAAAAATTAATGATTATGTAGATGTCCACATTTAGGTTATCAATACTCTAAAAGTTCTCATTGAACCAATCATGTTTATAAGTAGCTTGTACTTTGTAACATAATAACAATAGTGGAAAAATTAGTTGACATAAAAAGAGTGCAGACTTTATTTAATACCATTACAAAAGCAAAGGCATTTTTCCACATAAATGTCCCCATAAAATAAATGGAACCAAAGAGGAAAGATGACAGGTAACCCCATGACATGCTAAGAAAGTATCCTAATACTTAAGTTGACTTTAACCTTTTATTTCCTTATCCTAAGCAGCTTCTTTTCTCTTTATCATTTAGTCTAGTGCTTCTAAACTTTGATAAGTAAAGAAGTTATTGTACTAAATAAATCTTATTGAAATGCAGGATCTGATTGAGTGGGGTAGGTGGAATGAGGGAGGGGAAGTTGAGATTTTGCATTTCTTAGAAGCTTCTACATTATGTGAAAATGGCTAACCCATCTCAACACTGAGAAGTAAGGTTTCACTTAATTTCAGCCTGTGGAAGTTTATCTCATATGTACATTTCCTAAAACTCTAATCTCAGGCCCCATGAGTTTCTCCTTTAGTTGAAATATTTTTAGGAATAAATTTGAATTGCATTAATATACAATTTATAAGCGTAACACTGAAAAATCACTTGAAGTTTGAGACTTTAGGTTGAATAAAATCAATTTCATACTTGAAAATTTTCTCTAAATTCAAAAGTCGATACATTTAAGTACAATTTAAATGCCTGAGTTACAATGACCTTTGTTTTTCTAGCTCTGTATGCACCATTTCCAGAGTCATCATCCCTAATCAGGAAAATTTTTCTCACATGATTTCATGGTAAATTCATTAAATATGATGCTTACTTGGTAATGTCTCCAGGTTCTTTATTACGGAGTGGGTCACTGAAACGTCATGGAACAAATTGGAAATTATCTTCTTAATTAATGTTACTGTCTACCATGTATGGGAATTTGGTAAATATTATATGGGTTTCAATTACATAGTAGATAGAATGTTGTTAAATCTAAACTTAACTTTAGTGAATTGTAACAGATCCCACCTGAAATTCTAAAGAAAATAGAATCCTATTATCATCTATAATCTCTTTTTTTGGTTAATTATCATCTATAATGTCTTTTTTAAAATATATATTTTATTGCATTTTAGGTTTTGGGGTACATGTGCAGAACATGAAGGATTATTGCATAGGTACATACATGGCAATGTGGTTTGCTGCCTTCCTCCCCACCACCTATATCTGGCATTTCTCCCCATGTTATCCCTCCCCAACTCCCAACCCTCCACTGTCCCTCCCCTAGTTCCCCCACCACAGACCTCCATGTATGATCCTCCCCTCCCTGTGTCCATGTGTTCTTATTGTTCAACACCCGCCTATGAGTGAGAACATGTGGTGTTTGATTTTCTGTTCTTGTGTCAGTTTGCTGAGAGTGATGGTTTCCAGGTTCATCCATGTCCCTACAAAGGACACAAACTCATTATTTTTTATGGTTGCTTAGTATTCCATGGTGTATATATGCCACATTTTCCCTGTCCAGTCTATCATTGATGGGCATTTGGGTTGGTTCCAAGTCTTTGCTAAACAGTACTGCAATGAACATTTGTTTACATGTTTCTTTATAATAGATCGATTTATAATCCTTTGGATATATACCCAGTAATGAGATTGCGGGGTCAAATGGACTTTCTAGGTCCTTGAGGAATGGCCACAGTGTCTTCACAATGTTTGAACTAATTTACACTCCCACCAACACTGTAAAAGTGTTCCTATTTCTCCACATCCTCTCCAGCATCTGTTGTCTCCAGATTTTTTTAATGATCGCCATTCTAACTGACGAGAGGTGGTATCTCAATGTAGTTTTGATTTGCATTTCTCTAATGACTGGTGATAATGAGCATTTTTCATGTTTGTTGGCCTCATATATGTCTTCTTTTGAAAAGTGTTCATATCCTTCACTTTTGAATGGGTTTGTTTTTTTCTTGTAAATCTGTTTTAGTTCTTTGTAGATTCTGGATATTAGCCCTTTGTCAGATGCGTAGATTGCAAAATTTTTTTCCCATTCTGTTGGTTGCTGGTTCGCTCCAATGATTGTTTTTTGTTTTTGTTTCTGTTTTTTTTTTTTTTTTTGCTGTGCAGAAGCTCTGGAGTTTAATTAGATCCCATTTGTCTATTTAGGCTTTTGTTACCAATGCTTTTGGTGTTTTAGTCATGAAGTCCTTGCCTATGTCTATGTCCTGAATGGTTTTGCCTAGGTTTTGTTCTACTGTTTTCATGGTGTTAAGTTTTATGTTTAAGTCTTTAATCCATCTGGAGTTAACTTTAGTGTAAGGTGTCAGAAAGGGGGTCCAGTTTCTGCTTTCTGCACACTGCTAGCCAGTTTTTCCAACACCATTTATTAAACAGAGAATCCTTTCCCCATTGCTTGTTTTTGTCAGGTTGGTCAAAGATCAGATGGTTGTAGATGGGTGACGTTGCCTCCGAGGCCTGGGTTCTGTTTCATTGGTCTATGTCTCTGTTTTGGTACCAGTACCATGCTGTTTTGATTACTGTAGCCTTGTAGTATAGTTTGAAGTCCGGCAGTGTGATGCCTCCAGCTTTGTTCTTTTTGCTTAGAATTGACTTGGCTATGCAGGCTCTCTTTTGTTTCCATATGAAATTTAAGGTGGTTTTTTCCAGTTCTGTGAAGAAGGTCATTGATAGCTTGATGGTGATAGTGTTGAATCTATAAATTACTTTGGGCAGTATGGCCATTTTCATGATATTCATTCTTTCTACCCATGAGCATGGAGTGTTTCTCTATCTGTTTGTGTCCTCTCTTATTTTGTTGAGCAGTGGTTTATAGTTCTCCTTGGAGAGGTCCTTTACATTCTTTGTTAGTTGTATTCCTAGGTATTTTATTCTCTTTGTAGCAATTGTGAATGGCAGTTAATTCTTGATTTGGCTCTCTTTAAGTCTGTTATTGGTGTATAGGAATGCTTGTGATTTTTGCACATTGATTTGTATCCTCAGATTTTGCTGAAGTTGCTTATCAGTTTCAGGAGATTTTGGGCTAAGGTGATGGGGTCTTCTAGATATACAGTCATGTCATCTGCAAATAGACAATTTGACTTCCTCCTTTTCTAATTGAATACCTTTTATTTCTTTTTCTTGCCTGAT